TGTGTGTGTGTGTGTGTGTGTGTGTGTGTGTGTGTGTAAGAGAGACAGAGGACTCTTACAACTGGCTTTCTGTATAAATACACTGTTTGAATATAGTGCTTCTTAATGGGTCTATGCAAATAAAATGTATTATTGCTACGAGACTGGAAGTGCAAGTGGACATATGTTAAACTATAGAACTGTGCGACAGCCTTTAGCCCTCATTCTTTATGTTTTGCCTTCAAATTGCCAGACTTTCTTGTCATTTTAAAGGACACTTGAGCAATAATTCTCCAGGCTTTCTGAAAGTCTTTCATTGTTTCTTTTTGGCTGCTTTTTCACTCATTTCCAGTCCATGTGTCTGACCACTTTCACAGAAATCTGTTTGTTTGTTTTTTCAGAATCAGAATACTTTAATAATCCAAAGGGAAATTATGTGGTTACAGTTGCTCCAATAAGAGCAGTGACAGAATGAACTCAATTAAATAATAATACAATATATTACAAAGTTACAAAACATAAGAAATAGCTCTAGTATATATACAAATAGCTCAATTATAAATATCTAAAATATTACAGAGATTAAATATTTATAATTGATTGAATTGTTTTGTTTTTTTTGTTTTTGTTGTTAAGCCACTTAATAAATGATAATGGTAAATAGACTATACTACTTATATATCACCTTTCTACTTAAGTTGAGGACTCAAAACACTTTCATTCACCCAGTTCACGCACACAAGTTCATTCTCTAAAGGAGCCAGGGCAACTTGGGGTTCAGTATTTTCCCTAAGGATACTTTGATATGCGGATTGAAGGAACTGGGGATCAATCCATCCAAATCCAAGTTCCAACTGGTGGATGATCTGAACCACAAACTACTTACTGCAAACATAAAAAAGGACCTAACACAATGGAAGAACCTACACATAATAAACTACTTAAAACCTTAATTTTTCTGTCGGGCATAAAATTGAAGTTTTGTACCAACAAAGTGATTCCCAAACAACCATTAGCCAAAAACTTGGTACATGTCAGAATTGTGTGCAGTGTGTCCTTAAATTATTAATTATTAATATTAGTATCTGAAAGCCATGTCCTCAGGGTACAGGAAAATAGCCAGCAAAGATCTGACACGGGACCCAAGAGCTGCATCTGGTGCCTTAGCTGATCCATCTACTTATTTTAAAATGGTCTTGATAATTCTTCTTCTAATTCATGGATTCTAAAATAATATGTACAAAGACAGATGATGAATCCTAACAGTGTTTGTGATTTTAAAACTTTTTATGCCTGTGGCACAATTATGTCCATACTTGAGTCACGTTGAGCGTCAAATGTCATTTCTCTAATGCCGTGATGTATCATCTGTGTTACACCTTCTTAACGTAGTAACTGTGAGCATCCTGTAGAATTTAGCCAGCACAGCGTCACTGCCATGCATGATTGTTGAGAAAACAGTCATGTATAACCCTTATACTCTACGACTAATGTCAAACATACACAACTGGCAATTATACCCTGCAGTGACCTTCTGTCTCCCTAATAAATACAAAAAAGGCTATTTCACTGTTCACTGCAATAAAAGCACCGGGGGTGTGTCAAGAACGGTTCTGGCATTTTTGTGCCCAGACTTGCCTGGCACAGTGTGGAAACAAGATGGAAAGAAAACATCATCATCCACTTCAGGTTTGGCAGTGTTGGCTATTTGCTTTAACCACTTTCATCCCACTTAAAGACAGCACTCCCTGTCATGGCGCACTAACTGTCGGCTTTTCAGAGGAACCGCATTGCTCTTTGGGGCATACGTTTCAAAATGTGAATACAGCATCTCAAATATGCTACTGAGTGAAAAATTGTGTTCCGTCGGCAACATCCACCCATATGCTGCTGAATCTGTTGCTGCTGTTGCAAGTCACGAGGCCACAAATTTGAGAAAGAAAAGACTGCAGGATGAAGGCATAATGCACACTAAGACACGGAGCCGACTCAGGACAGGTGCACGTTTGTTTTGGGTAAAGAAATAAAGACCTATTAGAGAACAGATACTGCCAATGTCCAAGCAGCCAACAACAAAAACAAGCAAAACAACAAAGCAAAAAAAAACTGTAACACAAAGCTTTTATACCCTCAGGTCTGACAGGAATCTGCAAGCAAGTACAAAACAACTCACCAATAAATGTAATAAAAACAACTTTTCTGATTATAAAAATATATTCATCAACTATACTGATCAAATAACAGATTTTTATATGTGTGTGTATTCAATGTGGACAAGGCCAACAATGGTGAGTAAACACTTAGAGTACTGGGTATCCAAATGCTGGCAGGTGTTTCCACTGAAGTAAAGGATGCACATAATTAAAGCACTTTACATTCTGGGCACTAAGTACACGCAAAAAGTTCTTCAACAGACAAACAAGCTGTGTGTTTACTACCAAGGAAACTGTTTGGTCAGTAAACTTGTGTACATGTGTTTGCGCACTGGTGTGAATAAATAACTGCAGGATGCTGGTAAAGCAAAAGCAAATGCAAGAGGCAGCTGAGCTCTTTTTTATCTTTTACATATGTTGTTTAAATATCTATAGCTTTGCTCAAAACACAACTAAGTCAACTATATACTACTACTAGTCTTGGTCGTACTCCAACTCCAACCTCCAAACACTAAACAGTAGTGAGCAAATGT